GATGAGGGCAATAAATGTACAAATGTGCTTTACACAACTGACGTATGTATGGATTGTGGTAAGAGTTGTATGAGCCCCTAATAAAAACAATTAAAAAATTAATTAAAAAAGAAAGAAAGATCCCTCTGCTCCCCACCCCACCCCATCTTCCCCCAGGAGCAAGCTCTTCAAGAAAGCCCCCACTGTAGTGGGTACAAACCGATTTGGCCTACGATAAACCCCATGCTACTTCTTAACTCAGCGCCAGGGACACATCACATCTTCCCGCCTCAGGTTCCTCAACACCAGGGATGGATTTGTTGAGTGCTTTCGTCATCTCCAGTATTAATGATTCCACCACTGTGACTGAGGTGTCAGCAAACAGGCTTTTCCCATTTGTTCACACAGCTCCTTGCCCGAGGCCTGACCCCACACCAGGGAGCAAGCATCCAGCTTTAGGGTCAGAGAAGCTTCTCAGCCACAGAATACAGCTGCCATCAGGGGACTGACATGAAGTCTGGTTGGTTGTGGGTGCCACATAATGAATGAGCAGCCTAAATGGGGCGGCTTATGTGCCAGAGATGAGAACGGCATATGGGCCAGACACACCTTCACGCCTTGCAACCTCGTACCTGTGGCAGGAAAGCCGGGCCTGCTCTCATGGGCTGCTGGTCAAAGCCCGTATCTTGGAAGAAGTTGGTCAAAGATGAGCCCTTCAGGGAATAAGAAGGCGACCATTTAGCTTGGGAGTCACAACAAAACAAGGGCACCTACCTCTCCTCCCCACGAATGCTCCTACTAGGGCTTACCTGGGATGCAAGGAGCTGGAAATCTGACTGGGACAGTGCTGAGGCTATCTGGGGCTGCTGAGCCAGGGACTCCTGGACTTGGGCCTGCGGGAGGAGAGGCTGTGGGAGTTCCTGGGGTGCGGGGTAGGGGGGTGGTGGGGACACTTGGGTTTGAGCTTCTGTGGGCAGGAAGGAAAACGGGCTTCCATCTGAGGGCACCATCTGTAATACAAACAAAGGCACTAATGAGCTCAGCCTCTGCGTTCCCAGGAGCAGGTCCCCTTCAGGAAGAGAAAATGTCGAACGTGAGGGAAAAGCCTAAGTTTTTCATACTGGCATGTCATGCTCTGATTTGAGAGGTTTATTTCTGCTCCTTCAATGCATATTTCAAATCCCACTTCCCCACAAAACATTTTAGAGAGATTCATGTTGTCTTAAAAAACAAGCAAATATAAACAGAAAACCACCACCGATTGAACCAGTTCCCTCTCTGTTTTCTCAGTGAAAATCACAATTGCTTTAAAACCATGTCTTATGGTTAATGAGGTCAGACTGAACAAGTAAACCCTTCCTGGTCTTTCCCCAAACCCTCCTCAAACACTAAAAAGAGCAAGACACTATCACACATCAAAGAACAACAAACGTTAATAAAGAACACTAAAAACATAATCAATAACACTAAATCCATAACAAAAGCACGAGGACAAGGAGAACATGGCATCTCAATTTGGAAAACGAAAAGCAGGTGGACAAATGGTCACTACTTTGGCAGAGAGGAGACAGCTGGGTGCCAAGTGGGCAGTGGGGACGATGAAGAACAATCTGATTTCCATCTCAGGGTCCCGTCTCTGGTCTCTGGAACTGAGGGCAGCAGCGAGTGGGGTGGAGATGACTTAGGCCTTGCCCAGCTGGAGGCCAGGAAGTGAGAGATCTGGGGAGGATAAGGCTCAGGTTCTCTGGGCAGGGCCCGTTAGACCTACAAGGGGGAAGGCACTCTGCTGAAATATAGGGCTTATGGGCAAGTTTCCATCGCAATCTTGTTGTGCCCCCACCCTACTTTCCCACACCCAGCCCCCAGGATGCTGAGACCCAAGTACATACTGGGGCAAGATTGGAATAGTGTCCTCTGGCGAATCTGACCAGCCTGAGACAAAGCCTAAAATGTGTGACATCAGAGGTTTCCTTGCTAGCTCATTCTACAAGTCCATTCGTGCACAGAGCTTCCAGTCAGCTCTCCAGGATCTTTTTTTTTTTTTTAGATGATCTATTTTATTAGAGTAGGCTGATCACACATGGTCCAAGAAAACTCAAAGAGCAAACCAAACATAATCAGATGCTAAAGACTGGTCTTCAAACATCATAGCCAATGATGCCTCGTTTGCCTATGATCTCGCCAATGTAAAACCACATCCACACTTCAGTAGCCACCAAACCATTCAGCAGGGCTTCCTTAACTGTGAGCTGTTTGAAGCGACCAGTCTCAGCACTATTGATTACTTTTTTCAGGCTCTGAATAGCTGCAGGGATCTCAGCGGGGGTTGGAGGAACCAGCTCCACCCTGGCATAGTGCCAAAATGTGGCCAATGGAGGCTTTGAGTAAGTCACAGCAGCGTTTAGCATCCCCGGGGCCTTCTCCACTAAGTTACGGAGAAACTGGGCCATGGTTCTAGGAAAGAAAGTCCGAAGCCCGAAAGGGATGGTTGAATGTCACTTCCGGGCTCTCCAGAATCTTAATCAGAGTGCCAAGGATCAGCAGACTGTGAGGAAAGGGGAATCAGAGAACTAAACTTGGAGAGATCCCCGCAGGAAGATGTCCTTAAAAAGCAAAACCAAAACCATCATTACACTATTTAGGACAGCGGTTCTCAACCTGTGGGTCGTGACCCATTTGAGGGTCAAACGACCCTTTCAGAGGGGTCGCCCAATTCATAACAGTAGCAACATTACAGTGATGAAGTAGCAACAAAAATAATTTTATGGTTGGAGGGTCACAACAACATGAGGAACTGTATTAAAGGGTCATAGTATTAAGATGGTTGAGAACTACTTAAGACTATTTATTTAGAGATTTACACTATTAAAAAATTCTTATCTGTTAGAGATACATCTAAATATTTAAGATACATCTCAATACGTTTTTTTTCCAGTAAGTTTTTTTTAAGTATGGATATGGAAGAGATTAGATGATAATATTAAGAACTGCTGAGGCTGGATAATGGGTACTGGGGGACTTATTCTACTGTTTTCCCTACTTTCAAGCAACTTTAAAGTCTTCCATTCTAAAAAGCCAAAATATGAACAATCTGGAGAAGAAAACAATGGGACCGACAGTTCTGGGAGGACATGGGAGAGGTGGAGGTGGGGGGAAAGGAAGTGGTGTTAACAAATTCAGGGACAAGGGAACAACAAATCGGTGGTGAGGAGGGTGTAGGAGGCCTGGTAGGGAGTGATCAAGGGTAATGTAAACAAGAGGAATTACTGAAACCCAAATGAA